ATCTAGGAAAATATGCGGGGTTCGCAGGAGGCCAAGATCTTGCGAGAGTTCGTCGCGTCGCGACTGTGAGATCGCGTGCCCTTTAACCGGACAGGTGGTTCACACGTGATTGACTCGTGCGCACGGCTTACTCACGTGGCCGTGTAAAACGGCCTTAATGGGAGTGTTTCCTGATCCCGGAACGAGTAACGAGACTCGTACGTACAGTAAAGGGTTCGTGGGAAGACGAACGTCGAAGCTGGCTTCGCCTGAGGGTACATACCCACACACAGAGAGAGAGAGAGAGACGCGGTACACTCGCGCATTCATCCGCCCGACTCGCCGACGTTCGGAGAGCCGCTGCGGTCCCGTGCAACGCTATGCACCGGCAACGGGCGGTGATAATAGATGTCAGGGCTGAATCTCCGGAGCTCCCCACAGCTCTCAATTAGACGGAATGACGAGCGATTAAGCGCGATTAGCCTGGCCCGAGGAGCCGCCGTCGTTCGTAGCTTTTTCTGCTGAAAGCAGCCGCACGGTGGTCCTTCCCTTCAATCTGTGATTTTCTCTACGGTCGGATCTCTCTCTCTCTTTCTCCTCCGCGAGCCGCGTCATTTGCTCACTCGCTTCGTTAGCGAGCGATTCGTCGGGGGACAGCGCTGATCATCACTACGAGTTTACTTTAACGCGCGCGGAATCGCTGGAGAAATATTCTCTGCGTGGAGCGAAGCGCAATATTGCTTCCGCGAGTTGCAAAGAGAGAGAGAGAGAGAGAGAGAAGGCTCGTTGCTGTATCCTCCGGTGGGACTCAAAGGGCTAAAGCGCGTTCATTAAGGACACCGTGCTTGGGGGACGACGTCGGGGCGCTACGTGATTCGCTTTCGAGAAGCGGAAAGACCGGGGGAGGGAGGGGAGCAGAACGTGTTCGACGACAACATCGTGCATTTCCTACGGCGCCAGCCCGCGGAGTGAGTCCTGGAAAACACCGAGGAAGGGTGTCTCTTTCTCCCTCCCTCCCTCCGCCACTTCCGCTCTCTCCCAGGTTATTAACGGCCGACAAGATCGCCGCCATTCATTAATTTCCTTTCGCTCGACTCGGTAGCCGCGGAACTCTCCGCCGGAGAGAGCCCTTCCTTCTCTTCCCTCGCCTTCCTTTTCCTCGCGGGCCCGGAGGCCCCGCGTTCCACAGCGGTCCCAACTGTGCTACGCCACGGGAAAAGGGAGGCCTTAAGGCGATTTTGCACCACGATCGGCGCTGGCCTTCGTCAAGGGGCTCTCGGCGTTTTTTTTTATCCGATTAACGATGCATACGTGACCGGTACTTTCGGATCGCAGGATGAATACCATCGGGACCGTTCGACTTAAAAAAAAACAGAGGCCGAATGATCATCGATCAACCCGCGTCCCTGACGACCGTCCGAAACGAGCCGTGTAGACTCGCCTTTATCGGGGGAACGCTGAGACCCTGGCGAAGAAGCAGTTACGCAGACGGGAGTTCCTTTACAACCGCGTTACCCCAAGAAGGCAACCGGCTGATGAACGGGGAAAAAGAGGGAGAGAGAGAGGAGACGGGGCGGGCGATCGACGAAGGAGGCAAGAACAACCGTGGGGACCGGATCGCGCGACAAAGACGGACGGAAACAAAGACGGGGAGGAGAGAGAGAGAGATGTGTGGAGCCGCGAGGCATGCTCATTAGAAATAATAATTGCCGCAACGGGCAGATAATGAATGTAGTCGGCGCGTTGTTCGACGTTCGCCGACGGAGGAGAGTAAGTTCGCGACGGACGGACGGACCAATTAGGTAAATGGAAATGTTCGCGCGTACGCGTGATAACGACGCGATAACGACGCTGTCGTCGACTGTGGATCGCGCCGATCAACGGTCTCGGGTCCAGTCAGCTGGATCGAACGGCTTCGAGAGGCGGCTGCGGTCCGTCTCCGAGCGACGTCGATTGCCGCTAATCGCCAGCCGGCTAAACTATCTATTACAATTGGAGGGACAAGTGGATAAGGATGATAATACGACGAAAGCTGAACGTCGGGGAAAAGGACAGCTTTTTTTCATCCCGAAGCGTGCTCCGAATTTCTCTCTCCCTCTCTCTAGAGTTTACGTGTCCCTTTACGGGATAACTCGATCGCCTTTACCCGGCCGGCTCGACAACATTATAACATTATAACACGAGTACCAGCGTTATTCGAGGAGAAACGGCGAATTCGTTGTCACATCGTCGTTACGCTGAGTTGTTGGCCTGTTAGACCAACGGCTTGAAGATTCAGCCTTAACTCGGCAACTAACGCGATTACACGACGTCGGCGACAAAACGACGCGCTACGAGAAGTTCACCGATAATCAAACAGCAACATCCACGATACATGAACGAGCAAGAGCGAAAGAAAGAGAGAGAGAGAGAGGAGCGGCGCAACGGTCTTAATCACATCTAATGGCGGTAACATCATTAATGATAGCGTTGCGCGATAACAATAATAATAAAGCTGCATGAGAGAAAAAAGAAGAGAGAACCGGGAGAGACACGGGAGGAAACGTACAAACGAAGTCTTTAAAGAGCTAAGGCGACCCCCCTTAAGCACGAGGGGGCGGGAGGGGGAGGAGGGGAACAGGTTCCCGGCATGGTTACCGCGTATTCACCGAGCTGAAAACCTTGGGCCCCGTTCGGAGCAACGGAGACGTGTACAATTGTACGCCAGAAAGAGAAAGAGAAAGAAGAGCGAGAGAGAGAGAGAGACTGATGGGGGGGAGCAAGGAAGAGTATTTGCTCATCTCGCTCCAGTCGGGATGCTGCGGTCACTTCTCGCGGACACACGATACAGGTCGAGAAAGCAAAGGTGAGTTCACACGATGCGTGTATCTTGCGGCCACGGTGTCGGTCCCGGCGTGCAGGACCCGCTCGCGCATGGCAACGGCCAACGAGGCCCTTGGTCCTTGAACTCGCGACGACCGCGAGCGACGAAAACGGTACCTTTTTATTGGCACGAGAGAGCCGCGCGCTTCTGCCGGAATCTCGCGTGACTTCTCGCCGGATTTCGTTCAGCAACTACGAGAGGTTGGTCCCCGAAATTCGTATGAGGAGACGAGAGGAGATTGCGAGTCGATGCGAGTCAAGGACACGATTTAATGACAAGGATTCGTTCGCGTAAAAGAAACAAGGAAGAGAAATACTTTGCTCGCACGCGAGGACAAAGACGGATTTTTCATGTCGTTCCTCACCCCGAAGAAGCGAACTGAAGCGTTCACGAAATGAATTCGGGAGAAACGAATCCGTGAAAGACGCGGCGCCAACTCGGAAGGCCGAATTAAGTATTTCTCCATGTCGCGAATGCCTAAAATATCAGACACGTTTCTTTTCTTTCCGTGAGTAGGAGGGAGATGGGGAGAAACGGCCGTGCAGATAGGGCCGTTTCCGCATGACGAGTTAATTCTCGCTTCGCTGAATTTTTCGGTAGCTGGCGTGGAAAGCGGAGGAGGAGAGCGCGCGAGAGGACAGATTATGCCGTCGAAGCGGCAGGAAGCGACTATCGAGCGAATGCAACTCTGCTCGTCGCAGTCGTGTACTTCCACGATTTATGCTGACGTGCATCGTATTCGCGACAACCTCAATCTCGCACGTGATATACAAATCGCGCGCGATATACACGTCTCCAAATTCATTTTAATAGCGTCCCTTCGATCTCTCTCGCATTTCTGGCACGTAACCTGCGAGAAATGTAACGTCTGGAAACCAGACGTCTGCGAAAACGTGCGCTCGTAAAAAAATCCGTTTCGTTAAAAGTAGCACATTTTCACCGTCTCGCACGATTTTCACAAAATTCGCAATTATTTCGTCTTATCGACGGGATCCAGCGCAATTTCAATTAGAGATGGGCAATCATCGACCGGTGAATCAATAATCCATAATGTTCTTATACAATCTTTTCGATATTTTTCATGTTGCGTTTTCCTTACGTCGATAGTTTTTTTTTACTTCAAAGCGATTAATCTAATCAACGATTAAGGGCCATCGCATAAGAATTTACATAATGTGTTATATTACGCTAAATAATGGCCGTCAACTTAAGTCTATATATAACGGCAAACTTAAGTTAACGCAAAAGTGAAATTGTAATGTGACAAAATCATAATTATTATTCGTGATTAGACACATCATCATTTATAAGGCGAGTGTATCAAAATATTTTATAATAAAAAATAATAGAAATATTTAAATTAATAAGTTATCAAAATTTGTATTACTTTTCTATATCATGTTATTTTTTCATTTAGTCTTGCAACAATTACTTACTACAATAACTAAATGAAAGAAACAACATGTAATAAAAAAATAATAAAAACTTTGATAAGATCAACTTATTTTATTATAAATATTTCTATTAATATATTTCTCTTCTTTTTATTCAGCATTTAACGTAACGCATCATGAACGTTCTTGTACAGCGGCCCTAATCCCATCCGCTGAAGTTGATAATGCGGAAAATAAGTCAATTTACAATTAAAATAAGAATGGAGAATTTATAAGATAAAATGCAAGATGCAAAATGCATAAAAAAAAGAGTAACAGATGTATCGTGAAAAGAGGGGAAATTAATCGATTACAGAATCGATGTCTTTAATAATCGATGTCTTTAATAATCGATTAGTCGGGAATCGATGCTTTTCTTCGACGACTCCCATCTCTAGTTCCGACGATCGCAGCATTCAAAGCATTCGCGAAGCGTTCGAAGCGCCCGGAAGAGAGGGAAATCGCAGAATTCGACCGGCGAATCGATTCGCTACGAAAGTGACGAATACACTCGGTTAATTATCGCTCACGAGTGTAAAAAAAATGCCGAGGCGGAAAGTACATAGACACACGATTCGCGAGAGAATACAGCTACGCACCTGGTGGATCCCCCCTCGGTCCCCTCTGCGGCCATCCTACCAACGCAAGGCTTCCGGACGGGCAAGATGGCGAAGTGGTGGGGCCCCGAGCGAGCCCCTCGCGCGCCAGTCAGTCGTTCTCCGGGCCCCGCCGGCGCGTTACGTGGCTGAGGATTCTGTCGAGGAGGATCGTTCGCGTCGCGTGAAAGGGAGGAAAGGAAAGGGGAGAAAAAAAACGAGAGGAGAACGCGTCGTTCGGCGGATCATTATCGATCGTCGAAATCGAATCGCCGTCTATCTTCTCACCTTCGAGTCGGCGTCGCATTTCACCCAGTGCGCGTTTTTTCTTTATCCCTCTCTCCGTCTCTTTTACATCCTTCGCCGAGGAAACGCGAAACGATCGCGTCGGAGATCATCGACGGCACGAAGTGTTCGTTGATTGATTGATCGCGATCGGTCAGTCAATCGATCGATCGATCGACCGTCGTCGAGTCGCTCGAGCGGAGCGCTCTCTCGCACGCGCGCGAGAGGGAGAGAGAGAAAAGAAGAAGAAGAAGCGGTCGCTGCGGCGAGCTCGCGCGGGCCCCATAGACGCGGCGGACGAGGCCCGAATCGGACGTGTGCAACCACGACGGTGATATTTCGGCGAGCGACGACGACGACCACCGCGTAGCGACACGCTCCTGAAGAAGTCGGCACATCGCGCCACCAGAAAAGGTATTTTGTCTGATGAAAGACAGAAGGGCGAGAAAGAGAGGCGCAGGTGGTTCTCTCGGCGTGCGTGCATCGAGATCGATATCGCGCGGATCCGTTCCACGCTTCTGGCGAGGAACGCAAACACGAGGTGGGAGACACCTCGCGAGATGCGTAAACAAACCGGCGAGATCGCGACAATTCGTTCGTCCGTCCGTGCATCTCCCGGGACTCGCTTCGTACCCGCCATGAAAGCGAGCTCGAAGCGGCTGTAGAGAACGCGGGTGGAGAGAGAGAGAGGGAGAGCAGGTAGATATTCCGGTGAGACCAGTTTCTGCGGTTACTCTTACGGCCACGCGAAAATCTCGCCGAGACGCAACAAAAAAAACCATCCGTACGCGTTGATGACAATGGCAGTGCGCGCGAGACAATTGACGCGCGCGCGCTGGCCTTTGAGTGACACTGAAACGTACTACGTGACCGCCTGAAATTGCTTCGCCCCCCTCCCCCGCGTCGGCAGCGAAATTCACGAGGATCGATCGGTTATTATCGGCGGGTTTAACAGCGAAGACGCGTCGCGTGGCCGGTTGTTTCCTTCGGGGGAGCTCGAGAGCGCGCAGCAGCCGCGCGCGCGCTTAATCGACCTCAATTGGCGGAGAGCTTCGCCTCGGCGCGTGATCGAGAGGCCGCAGCGCGCGCTCCGCGCCGAGGCTCCAATGAGTAAACCTTCTCTCCGTGCGGCTCCTCGGAAATTCCTTCATTATCGTCGAGGCGTTTTCGTTCACCAACTGCAAAGTTCGCGCCGCGTCCCTCTTACTGACGATGCGCCTTGAGCGACCGATGATAAAATTCGTTGCGTGATGTGGGGGTTTTTTGTTCGCTCGTTCACTCGTGGATGCTGTAATCGTGTTCGATGAGACGAAATTTTTGATATTTGTAACTGCGATCGGATGAGTGAAAGAATTATAACCAAGGAAGCGAATTTTCCCAGTAAGCGTTATTGCAGCATAGTTGATAATAATCTTACCCGTACTGAAAGCAAAAAGTGCTACGTTCAAGTAAATATTTGTCAAGGAATGTTGGAGTGATTGTTTCACTTGGATTAAATAAATGTTAATTTGGACGCAACATTTGGTTCCTTTCGGTGTGCATATGTTGCTACTATTATTTTTTGGGTTAAAACCAGAAGGAAATAATTGGGGCTGAAAATGATTATGAATTTTAGTGAAATTTCTCTCAGTGTAGATAAAAATTGCTTTCACACACACACACACACACACGTGCGCTATACACGTAATTGCCTAGGAGAATCGGTAGATAATTTTCTAACATCGTTTGTCGAGCCGATTGCTTCGTCCACTAATTGAAAGTTCTCGAATTCCTTCGACTTACGGTGACTCAACCGAGATACGCTGCATGGATCGTCAGATTTCAATGCTTCTGACTTCAAAAAAGGGAGATCCTTCCTGCCTAGATTTGTGGACCCACAACAGAAGGGTCGTCCCTAAGCTGCAGGTACTTCAGTTCAAGGCTTTAGATGCCACCGTTTCACAGAAGAAGCGTCCGACGTTTCTCGGTCGACGAGAGATCCCTTTCTCGCCGATCGGCTACTCGTGTTCCGCATGAACGAGGACGGCTCGTGCCCCGTGAACGTGAAGAAAAAAAAGTCAACCACACACGGCACGTTGCGATCGATAGATCGCGCGCGACGTGTCACGTGAACCGACGCAACACAGGTGTGAAAATGAGATATAATCGCGGCAAGGAAATAAAACGCGTAACGGATTAAACGGAGGAATAAAGTACAGAAGAAGTTTCCAACTAGGTGCCGCAAAAAATATGTATCACGGTTGGGTCAACTGATGCATAAATATGACATAAATATGGCATTAATAAGAAAAATAAAAAACAATTCTTTCGTATTTGTAATATTGTGTATGTGTGTGTGTGTATATATCTGCATCAGCTTCGTTTCAAAGTAACATGTGTTATTCAGGTAGTGAAATAAATGTATAGGAACGTAATTTTGCTTGATAAATATTAAATTTATAAGTGCTTCCCTTGGTGTTACCCAGTAAAAATACGGCACTAATGACATCAATACATCCTTAACGCGATGCTCATTCCAGCATCCTGACTCTTTGTTTCGTATTCGACGTACCAAGGGACATTGTCTCCCGAAGGACAGGAGAATTTTTCCACGCCCGTGTGTTGTTTTTCGATAAAATGAGATCCACCGGATCCGATTCTGGCGCGACTGATAGGACTTCTCAATTTCCCGGGTGAGATAAAACCGTCAGATAAAAGACCGGAGTTCTTGTTTCTAAGTGTGCAACGAGCCGCACGTGTATGTACACGCGGTACTACTACTATCTACCGCCTCTGTACGGTCCAGAAAAGAAACGCCTAGAATTTTCCGGCTCCCTCGGCCGTCGGAGAAATGACGATGTGAATACCGTAAAAGAGTAGGCGTAGCGTGAAAAGGAACAATATCTCGAGCCCATCGAACGGTTGCCACGGAGCATTAGTCGTATATCTCGATCGCACGTACACACGCAATGTTCAGTATTAAACGCAGTCCGTCCGCCGAATCACTAAAATTTCGTTTTATCTAAGAAAATCTGAAGGTTGATTTAACAAATTTATTTATCTAAGAATTGATTTAAAAATCAAATCATTTTTCGAGTCTTTTGTATATCTAGTTTTACATAGCTCCTGTAATGTTGAAATTGCAAGCAGTTATCATCGAGAGATGTTTCTTCACAAGACGATAGTCGTGGGGCAGAATGAAGTCGCGTGACAGCGGCCGTCAGAATGTTGAGCGAAAAACGTACGTTCGGAAATACGGACCGTTATAAACCCGAGATAACGGCCTAATTGACCGTCAACGTCATCATCGTCGTCATCACATCGCTCTATCGCGTCGACATTACAGCGATCTCGAGGCACGTGAGAGGCTGTTAACCCCTTCGGGATGTCATCTTCATTCATTTTTCCCGTTTCACGTGTGCATTCATGTGCGCGCATGCCTATCGAGCGTGTCGTAAAAGCCGGGCACGTTGCACGGAGCTGCGAGTACACAACGTGATAATGTACGCTGATGTGCGCAAAATGTTTCGTCCGCAGTTTTGAGCACGGATATAAGATACGATGTATGATGTATACAAGGTGTCTCGCGCGATACGTGAGCCGAACTTTAACGTCGCAAGGCACACGCAATATTGAATGAACACCGAGAGAAAGGTCTTGACTGTATCCTTTTCATGGTTTTAATCGCAAAAATAATAATGTGTATATAAGGTTATTGTCATTAGATTGTGACACACTTATTAGAAAAATGATCCTCCTGACTTTCACTTTGGTGAACGAAACGTTTCAATTCAGTAAATTCAAGCGGTAACACTAATAGCTGCGGTAAAATTCTTAAACGTCATATATATATTTCTTGCTGATAATGATTTCTTTAGTCTTATAAATGAAACTGTCAGTCTCGATAACGCGGGACGCGTCGTGAACGGAAAATCAAGTGAAAAATCTGTTTGGCGAGCGCGTGTTAAGAAAATCTTATCACTCCAGAACACACTCTCTTTCTCTCGCTCGCAAACGAGAGGAAGTATCTCCAAATAATCTAACAACAATGTGACAACACACTCGTATCTCCAAATAATCTAACAACAATGTAACAACTGCTCCGTCTGCGGCGGAATCACGATCCCTCTTTATCTGTCATGTCATTACGCAATACGTAGCGAGAGGAACAATTCGACTAGGCCGAATAATTAACATAATTCCTGCGGCCTCGTGCCTCATTCGTCGTACAGCATTGCGCAATTATCGCGACAAATGTGATCCGTGTAGCGCGCCGCGCCAGATTCGCGCGAGAGAGTGAAAACCGAAGGCGAAACGGCTACGCGAAAACTCACGTCGCGGAAAGCAGGAAAGCTATAATATTTCGCGAAATATCGCGAAGCAACGCCGCCGGCCAGCGTTTCTCGCCTTTCACCCGTTCGCGACGAGGCTAATAAAGCACCCTTCACTCTCCGGCCGCATTGTGCGCGCTATCCTTCGATGCTGTTCGACCGGCTTGCCCCCTCTTTCTCTCTCTCTCTCTCTCGAGTACCGAGAGATCCAAAAATCACGTGAGCGGAGATAAACCGTAATTGCTCGCCAAGATTTTTCCCACCTGCGTGAACGTTACCGACGTTGAACAATCAGCGGCAGCCTTGAGCAATTTTACGATTCCTCCCCTCCCCCGCGAAAGTGTCGCCAGCATGAAGGATCTTGTACCAGGAAAATCAGCGTCGAGGACACGCTCGTGAGCGCGATTTACGAGAAAGTGCGTCCTTCCGAGTCCTTCGATTATGACGAAGAGACAGAGAGAGAGAGAGAGAAAGCGATGAATGAATGAATGAACAAGTACCGGTCCGTTGATGATTTTATTGTGTCACACCGCCGTTGTGTTCATCGGAGCATATCGAGACGTCGATAAGACGTCAAAGAGCGCGTGTGAGACACGTAACTGTAAAACCCCTCGCCGTTCCTTAACCAAGTCGTCAGACTCGACCTTTCGACGCGAACGAAGGAAAGAAAACCTGCTCCTGCATCCGTACGCACGCACGCACGCACGTCACGCCACAGTTATTTTTTTTTTCACTGACGCGGGTTAGGAATTAATTTGACGCGTTCGATCCGCTGCAATTCGTAGACGCGATAATTGGACAAGCCCGCGGGGGAGAACGTCGGCGAGAGAACGCGAGAGAATTTTCGTAGAAAGTCTCGGGTCAAAATCCCTACTCGGACGTTCTTGAGTAGTTCGCGGCCATTTAGATGGTCTGCAGACTATGCGGAGAAAATTATTATCGATTCGAGACTCATTCTTATGTATAAGCAAAAATATATAATCTTATATGAAGATAAAACTTGCCTCAATTCATGAAAATTATTCTTGAATAACATGAATATATTTTTAATGGGGCTACATAGAATGTTCTTCATACATATAAGAAAGAGAGAGTATAAGCTTA